CGTCGAGTCCAGAACAAACGCAGGGTGGACCAGAAAGACGAATTTCAAAACCGCATTGTTCGCGACACGCGGAAGTGGAACACGGGTAGTGGCGATAAGTAGCTTGGTGCTTGGAAATTTAGTCGCCATGGAGCGTTTCAACAAGTTTTAAAGCTCATTACAAAAATGGAGATACGTTTAATATTGCGCGGCGTCTGCTTAGCTTACATGATCTAGATCAATGTCCTAGCGAAAGTGTGATCATGTCGTGGGTTTGAAAGTTCGGATCTACCCGTTCGACACTGAATCAAAAACGCCCCGGAGCGTCCAAGGTAATACCAGAGTTATCATCAGAAAAGGGATCAGCTGAGCTTGTTATATAATAATAATTCGGCTTTATTTATACAAAGTATAAAAAGGCGAAGTGTCGCTAGAAAAGCGTTCTTCAACTTAATCCAAGAAATATTTATGTAAATTTTCTAATCCCTATAAAAACAAAAAAAAGAAACCTGTAACGAGTCCCTATTCATGGCCAGGTCTACTTACTGGGCGATACAATCAAAGATTAAACGCTTCATATTTTTTTGAAATTCTTTATATAGTAGTGAATGAACTCGGTAGGCGTTGTGAAGCTTAGTAGCAGTATACGAGGGATGTCTTTTAAGTTTTGCATATGGAAATAAAACGACACGGTAGGTAGCTTTAAATGACCCTATTGTTTTCCGAAGTATTCTCCACGAAGATTAATACACATCTACATGAGCTCGAACCAATTTTCGAAGCACTTATTCCACTCGTTTGCTGGCAGATCCAAAACGGCATTTTTGAATGCGTTAACTGCATTTTTTGACACCAATTAACCCTGGCTGCTTTCTGCTCGTCAGTCAACAGATGGGGTATCCAACGAGAAACTAATTTTCTTACTCCTAACTGTTAAAGTAAAATTTTTTGAATTGGGGTCTTTGAGATCTTCAAGGACGCCTCAATCTCGCGATATGTCACATGTCTATCTTCAATGATGAGTTTGCGCACAGCATCGACGTTTTCCTGGGTGACTGCCGTTTTTGCTGCACCCACCCTGGGATCGTCACTAAGACTCACCCGTCCATGTTTGAATTCTACATACGAACGGGAAATTGTCGACTGATGTGGCGCTTCGTTGCCGAAAACAGACAGTAACTCAGCAAGGCATTCTTGTTGCGATAATTGTATCTGAAAGTTGTAATAAATTATGGCGCGAAAATGTCCTCGGTTGAGTTCCATTTTTCTAATGACTTGGTGACACCTAAAAAAAAAAAAACTTAAAAGACATCCTTCGTACATACATTTACGATCTTTTAAACAGAGATGTTGAATGTCTCGGGATAACCAAGAGATGTCTAGTCTTTGTATTCAGTTGATTAATATCTGAGTATCTGACAAATTTGGTTGACAGGTATGGAGGGGCTTGTGTTGTGATTGCCTTATGGGTCAAGGTCAATACGTGCATTTTTTGTAGCTCTTCTATTTTTTTAACACCCAGCTCACGATATTTATGTGATACTGACTCAAATTTGCCACTCCACAAGCAAAGCCGAGACACGCGTTTTGAATCTTAACGCAGGCCCATAAATACAGCCACAGTAGTGAATTCTAAATCTCATTAAGGTTTCGCACAACTTCAGCTTGAGACCGGTGTTCATACTTTTCCTATGAGGAAATGATTGTTTCAAGACACCAAATGATGTTCGGTACAGTTGACTAACATGTATTTCAAACCTTAAATCAGAATCAATCCATAGTCCTATATTCTTGAACTCATTTTTTTACCTCAATGATGGTAATGCTTTTACCTGACTTTTTTCATCAAGAACATCTGTAACGCGTATTTTTGTAAAAGACCTTAAGCTGCACTCATATAAACTGTCACATAGTGCAGAAATTGGAACCGCATGACCACCATCTATGTCGTGCTTTTGCCGAAACAATGTTAAACTGCCTTCCAAGTTTGAGCAATATTCTCTTTTCTACCTAAGCTCATTTTCATTTGAGTTGATTTGTCAACAAGCAAAATTACCGGTAAAATTCCAAATTAAAGGACGGATATTGTTGAAATGGCGAGAGTGGTGGGGAGAGTGCCGTTCAACCCGGGCGTTTCTAGCATTTTTACCAGTAGCCATTATGGAGAAGTTGACAGTTCCTTTGTACAACATAATGAATTTATTGCGGCTGTACAGCGTGAGTTTCGGCAACAAATTTGTTTTTAAGTACAAATTACAGATTATTGTGATTTTTTTAAAAACCGTCCGATCTTTGTTGCGGGCCCATATGAGTGGTGCCTCTATGGTCGTTTTGGTGTCCCATGTTGCTGTAATACATGATAAAAATAAGCTGTCTAACCAGATCAGCATCTTTTCTATCAATCCGTTAATCCAGTTTGCCCTGTAATTGAATATGGTTAACGTTGCGAGATACTTCACCCCTGTACCGCAATAATTGAGGCAGCTGTTAATCTTGTCAAAGAACTTGGAACGTGCGCCAAAGCTGCCACCGCGCCGCTAAGACGGAAGACGGCTGCAATATGCCTTGCACATAATGAGCAATATTCGACGACAAAACATCCTTTGTACTGCACACTCATCGATTACCCGGTAATCTAAGAAGGCTGGTGTCTTTTATGGCTGCCACGCCACTTTAAAGAGCCACTTTACGTAGTGCGTTCGCAGCATTCAGATCACGTTTGACGCGTGTTATGAGGATTACTGGTTACAGACGCAATGGGCCTTAACGTCGCTGCGACCCCAATGGACCTATGGTAATCGCCATATATACTTTCTAAAGTCCTTCATTCACACTTCATTGTCTTGACAAAGCCTGTGTTTGCTACTAGCTGAAACCGTAGCTTTGCCAGTTCTTCACAGGAGACACCGTGGGGTTTCCTCGTGTTCTTTGCAGGCCCGAGAGCCTCATATATCGATTTAGAAGAAGTGTCCTGTCAGGAGCCCCAATATGGCACGTATAGCCTTTATATTGAATCCGAGTAGGTCCTCTGTAAATGCGGACCTCCGTTCTTTAATGCCTGCCTTGCCCATCTGGCTGTTCCACCATTCTAGGAAATGTTTATTGGTTCAATTTCATGTGGACTGTTTAGTACGTGTTCTCGTCTCGCAACAGAAAGGCTCTGGACATATAAGGCGATTGGCCGCACCCTGTCGAGCTAGCCCTTCATGTATTGCTACCCTGTTTCGGTTTCCGGCTCTTTGAGAACATTTATGGTAGCCCGGCTGGCTGAGTAGATGGCGATCGACTGATTTGCAGTCTCATTCCTTATTAACTCTTATGCGCAGACTTGTATGTCTGTACTTTAGCCCAGAGTTCCCCAAACTTTTTTGTGTCGTAGACCCCTTGCCATGTTTTTCCGTGTTAGGTAGACCCCCTACTTACCTGATATTTATTTCCTGTAAATTTCTAACTGTAGTGAAGTTTAGTGTTAAAAACTTAAAGTAAAAACACATGTTAATTTATACATTTATTAATTGAATTTAAATTAAAACTACTCAAAATAAAATTTTGTATCTGTTATGTAAAATATACGTAACATTAAATAAACAGGTGTCTGACCAATAAGTGCCCGCATTGGGAATAAGTGCCGCATTGAAAAAAAAAATAAGAGGGATAAAATAAAAAAAAAGTGAAAAATAATTAAAAAAAAGGTTTTTACTTAAAATAGTACAATAAGCGAGTTCGTTTATTAATTATAACATAAACGTATGTCTTACAATAATTTCACTGTTAGTTTGATTAAATTCCGCTTCTTATACGTTTAAGTTATCTAAAAATAGGCAAAAAATTAATGAACTTTAGTGTGTACCTATCCTTGAATTTTCAGAATAATTTTAAAAAAAAAATATTTTCTATAAAGGGGGGTTCTTTAAAAAAATGAATGCGGGCACTTATTCCCAATGCGGGCATTTATTGGTCAGACACCAATAAATATAAAATAAACTATAAATAAAATAACACAAGCAATACGTCAATATTTTTAGTGGGAAGGATGAACCTGATGCTTTAATAATAAATTATCAACATTTGGCGTCAATTTTGTAAGGGTTAATCTTAAATCTCCTCGGCTAATGATGTCCAGTCTGTTTCTTTTTTTCGTTAGGAGATTGGTAACAGCGCTGAACCCCCTTTCCACTAGGTATGACGATGGAAACGAAATTAAAAATTTCCTCGCTATATTCCATAATACGGGATAAGTAACGGGTATGTTGTTTTGCAGCCAGAATTGCTGATATTCGTTTTTAAACTGAACCTTAAGTTCTTCGTTTGTACTTAGTTCAGTCAGTTCCTCTTGTATTATGACATTCGGTTCTTCTATGTCACCATACGGATTAATTATCCACGGTGGTATTACCACAAAATATCCTCAAACCTAGATTCAAAATCTGAATAGAGGGCATTTAAATGTTGAACGTAAGTTGAAACGTCGTCTTCCTGGCAGCTTGTCTTTGACAAATTGGGGAACTGAGAAAATTCGCCCCGTCCAATATTTTGCTTCATTAGTTTAACGCTGATAAAATGGACTTTGTTTTAATCAAATTTAAACTGTCGCCTTGTAATTGCAAATTAACCATATTAAATGTTGTAAACAAATCTGTCAAATAGGCGATGTCTGTTTTCCTCTTCATTAAATCTTCTTTTAAAATTTTATCTTTAGTATCCAGAAATTCTAAAATAGTCTCAAAAAGTGCAAAAAATCTTGTCAAACATAAGCCTTTCGACAGCCAGCGTACTTCAGTGTGAAGGAGTAATTGATGAAAATGTTCGTCATTTTCTTCACACAACTGCGCAAATAAGCGCGTATTCAACGCGTTGCTTCGGATTCGGTTAACTGCATCAATGACTAAATGAAGTGATTCATGCAATCTAACACTCAAATTTTTAGCAACTAAATGTTGTCGATGGATGACGCAATGTATTGCTAACACCCCTGACAGATTTTGTTTTAAATAGCTTATAAATCCACGATAACGTCCAACCATGGCAGGTGCTCCATCTGTAGCTACTGATATTATATTTGATAAAGGAATTGCTTTTTCAATGAAGTAATCCTTCAAAACATGAAATATTGATTCACCTTTAGTGTCGGTTATCAAAGTTCTTACGAAGAGCAGTTCTTCGTAGATTTCTTGATTCATAATAAAACGAACATATGCCAATAATAATGCTGCATTATCAGGTAAAGTTGACTCGTCCAGTTGTATAGAGAAATGGGTCGTTTGCAAATAATTACATAAGAAGCTTTCAATATCAGAACTCATTTCATCAATACGTCTTTCAACAGTATTGTTGCTTAAGGGAATTCTTTTAAGGATATCAGATGCAGGTTTGTGTAAAACAGTTTTTAAAACCTCTTCAACGGCTGGCAAAATTAACTTCTCTCCGATAGTATGCGGTTTTCCGGATTTTGCTATAAGTAGCGAGATATTGTAAGACGCCCGCAAACCACCATCATTTCTTTGTGACGTCGAAGCGGACATTATGTCCAGTGTAAGTCTCTTCTGAAATTTATCTTGAGTGTTTGAAAGTATTTCAAATCTTTCTCTGTTTTATCACGGTGGCATCTTCTCAGATGATCTTGCAGTTTAGATGGTTTCATAGCGTCATTGCCCAAAACTTTGTTGCATAAAAGGCACATAGGCGATTGTTTGTCCGGCAATGATGGAATGAAGCTAAATTTCAAATAATCAACACTGTAGTGTCTACATTTCTTTTTAGATCCGGACATGGCATCAGTCATCTGTGGGCAAAATTAAATTATTTAAATAAGAAAGAAAATCCAGCAGCTGTATATTAAAAATATTTTTTGATTTTTCCGAAAACATTCCATAATTATAACATCTTCTTGCAACAATTAGCTCAAGTTACGGAGATTGCACTGTAATTATATTACCGATTGCTAAAACTTTCAAAAAGAAACTATTGAGGAGTACTCATGTAATTTTGCATGATTGAATATTTAACTACTAATAACTAAAGTCATGATTGGCGTAATTTATCTATCTTTGCTAACTACGAGTACAAAACTAAAATTCAATAAAAAATAATGTACTTACTTTTCTCCAGCACTCTCAAACAAAATAACACTGACTCACTATAATTTGTGTGATATACTATCTGTTTATATTTTTTAAAATATTTTCTTAGCACTATCCTTTTCAAGATTCAGGAAACGAATAAACGTATTTGCCCCACATTCGTATTTATAGAGTGACGAATTGAACAAGTAGCGAAGCTCTGAGACTGAGGTTTTTACAAGTTCAAAATGTATTGCGACCACAAAGCGAATACCAACAGCCTACAACTTACACAATTTTATAAACATATATAATAAATTTTGTACTTTATCGGTACTTTTATAAATAATGCATATGTTTTGATATTATAAGATAGTACGATGTAAGTAAATAGGTACTATCAGTGTGTGTTGAGATCCACTATCGTGGACCGCCATATTCATTTCATGGACCCCCAAATTTTTTTTCGCTGACGTAGACCTCTTGCAGGTTGTCTTAGATCCCTAGGGGTTGATATAGACCACTTTGGGAATCAATGCTTTAGCCTATAGTGTTATGACGATCGACGACGAACGTTGTCAAGAACGACGATCGATTTCAGTTCAATTTGATCGACATCTAAGGCTTGTTGTGTCGCTCGATGAGTCGGTTAAACTCTTTCCGAAATGTAATGAAATATTTCCAACACTTTTTCCCTGGAGCTCGTGATTTTAAGATAAAAAAATTACCTAATCATTTTTTCTTTACTGGAGCCAGGATGTAGTTATGCCTGTGTAGAGGTACATCCTGGGTTTGCAGAGTCAATTGCAGTTTCTTGTGGCATCACCACCGGGCTCTACTAACCACGAAAGGCAATCTAATTTTTAGTAACATGCATAACCTTCAGTTATTGGATTCCGAATAAGCTGATACGTATATGGATAGTATGCTGATGCATAGCGTTAAGGTGATTCCTAGTAATTAATAATAATTAGTAATTAATGTCAGAGCCGAAAATTGGTCGAGTGTTTGTGTCGAAAGTCTATTGGGAACTATTAAAAATGTCGTAGACGTACGTTCGTCAAATCCATAGAGGAAATAAACAAATTATACACAGAAATCAAATGATGAGGAGAAGAGAAACTACTACCAGATTGTGGAAGTCCCTGAGCAAATTGACAGGAGACAACAATCAAACTGGCATACATGACAAACTCATTCTTTCTCTATTATACAGATGACGAAGAAATAATCGAAACAAAACATTCATTAAAAAAATTTACCTGTAATAGCCCCACCTTTAAAATGTATTTTTAATAAAATACTCTAAGGTGGAGATTTCCCAGCTATATTCAAGACTGCAAAAATAATGCCCACTTACAAAACTGGGAAAGATCGAGGGTAACTATCGACCTATAACGCTAATGATAATAATAATAATAATAATAATAATAATAATATTAATTTATTCGTACTATTAGACAAAAATATGTTTGCACAGGTCAGTTAGAGTAGAATATAAAAGAGTAAGTACAAACAACAAACAATAGGAAAATAAGACAAACGTAAAACACAAAGTGGCAATAAAAGGTAAAAAAAAAACTTGATAAAACCTAGTTTAAAATTTAGATGAACAATAAAATAAGATGGTTAAAAAGTTATGAAATAGTAATAATTCAGTCATGTGGGATATTTTCAGCTGATTAGCTTTTTTTCGTCTAATAGTCCTGGACTATAATATGATTAAAAAACAGCATATTGGGCGTTTCTGTTTGTCAAACAAATTAAAATGTTATTTTGACAGAAAAATAAAATCTGAGGTTTCACGAAATTGGATAAAGAAGAAATAACAATGCAATCACAAAATGGGATATTATGAGTCACAACTAATAATGAAAAAATTATATTCATTTTGTGATGTTGGTTTATAATAGGTACTAAGTAAATAATTTATATTAGGTCCATACAAAATTACACGTAAGCGGATCAGATACTGCTGAAAGACATTTTAATGAAGAATAAAAGTTTCTAAATTTTAGTTTCAGTAGGAATTATGAAGTTAAATAAGCCTTATCAGGTCATCGGATATCTATAGTATTTAAAGTGGATCCTGGGATGCGTTTTAACATCTTCAATGCCTGTTGTAATATCTACAACAACGTCATGCTTTATTAATTTTGATCAATAGTGACAGTGAGTAGGTATTGTTATAAATAATACCAATTAAATTCAACATCCCAAATGAGTATCAGGTAGAATAGCGCATTTGAGTTAATTCTGAGAAAAATTACCTCTACTTCATCAGGTGAAATTCTGTTCTGACCTGTGATTCTAATATCAAATGCCATACAAAGATACGTAAACGTATTGGTTGTTGTGCAAACAGATACAAAGCTCTAAAAATATTCATCCTAGTTGTGTTCACCAATAATAAGAAGAAGCAGCATTGTTGGCAAAGAAAATATACTAACGTTTCTGCTGCATTGGTTACTTGATTTACATATTAGGGTATAATATATACAGGGTTGTTTGACTTATAAGGGTAGATACAAAGACAAATTACACAGTAAATATTTGGAACAGGTGATGTTCCCTTCTCTAGTCACAGAGTGTGAAATATTTTAATAATCTGTCTTTATTTTTAATTTTGTTGAGCATTTAGCGCGCACAGGGATAACGCTAAATATTTAAAACAAGACAAATATTGCAATCACTTTGTTAAAAAAGTAACAATTTGCATTGTTTTTTCGATCTTTTTCTCAGGAAAATACACATAGCATACAAGACGTACTACCTATTATGCGAGCATAATAAATTTGAAAACTGAAAAACCGGTAATTTATTTAATCAAAAACTACTAAAGATTTAATTATTTATGGTTCAATTAAAATGTAAACTGCAATGTTGGTACACAGTATGAGTATGTTTTAAAATCTTTCTTAACTCATTAATAACGTTGGGTGTAGGTGAATGATTAATGTTGATGGGTCCAGCTGTAGAGTGAGGAGCTCGAGGAGCGGCTGCAGGATCTTCTGTTTTCTATTTTTAGCTAGAGGTTCTGAGGCATCACTTCTAAGGGTGTTTATGATGTTGGAATTTATGCTCACTATCCAATTGCAGATAAGGCTAAACTGTGGCCAATAGTTTTTACTCGTATTTCTGTTGTATTCAATCCTGCCTTCTCTGCTGCTTCTTTAGTTTTCCATTTTCAAGTTCCTTTTTCCTCGCTGGAGTGTTTTTGTACCATCCACTTGGTTGTTTTATGGTATTGTAACTTTTGGTTACAACAGTTGTCAAGTTGTGCTGCGGGTAGACTCAAAAAAACTGCTGACAGGTGCTGTCATTTATTTTTTGTTTATTATAATCCAACAGGGTCATCCAATTAGCAGGCAGGGAAAAAAACAAAAAATGATACAAAAACAAAACTCTAAACAGTACATGATAAAAAAGTTACATAAATATAAATTATCCGATTTTGGTGGAACTAAAATTTTTAATTTCACTTACACTGTCACAAACATTACACATACAATTCTTCCATCTAGAAACCATTTGTTATTCAAAATTGCGCGTTTGCGATTGGTAGAAACTAAGACAAGGGAAACAGTCTCTCTTATCGTGTTAAAAAGGAAAAATACTGGACCGACTTAAGCGCAAATCCGCCTTTCTTTCTTATCCATTTGCATGAACTTCGCAATTGTTTACGTTGCAGGGTTCTCTTCGGAAAAGCTAGAGCTTATCTTATTGGTGAAAGAGCTAGCGAGGTAAACCAAACACCCCTTATACTGTGTAATAGGTGCAATCTGCTCTGAGCCGGGATTATCTCCGTGGCAGGACGCTCAGCTTTCGAGCAGGCACCGTCATTAAAATCGATTAGTTTACGAATGGCGATGGTATGGAGGTCGGACGCTTAAAATTGACTTTTATAGGACGGTGCGTGAAGGAAAATTGAGAGACTAACAAGCGCCAATGACAACCCAGGTAAATGTGGCCTGTTAGGGTGTCCAGCCTAATCACTTTTGACTTATATTAACGATTTTATCTCAGTTAGTCAATCAGTCACTCAATCTCAGTCACAGCGAACACACACACACACACTGTAATTCCGGTTCGGCCCGTGTAGGTTATTGTTGGAACCAAATAAAGCTTTTAATAAATGTAGTTTGGAGTTCCGACTATATAGTTGGCGCGGTCCGCAGGAGGGATTTTCGCCGATTCGCCCTTGAGTCCGAACCCTTAAATGGGAATCACGAACCTCCGTGACGAGCCGGTACAACCGAAGAAAGACGAAAGGATTTGGACCACAAGTGCCCTTTGTCCTGTTGAAGTCAACGTCCACCTGAGGAACCTAGGCCAAAAACGGGATGAAGTACTGGACCTATCAGTAAGTGCTCATTGTATCCTTATTTATTCATGAGTGACTCACCCCGACCTGTACATCCTTCTGAAGGTGATCGTGCAGATCAAATCGCTAATTGCATAGCAAGCTTAGAATTAGGAAGTAG